TGTTCAGTAATGCGGCTTCCCTGTAGCAGAGACGTGTAAGAGTGAGCGAGCCTTGCAGGAGATATTTGGAGAAGGCAGCGAAAGCAGCTCCTCTGCCTGAAGGTGATCAGGAGTCATCAGCTTCCTGCTCTCAGCTGTGACTAGACCCCCACAAGACTCATAGTTATCTAACCATGGTCCTGCCTTGTTTTCTCTAGACTTGTGTCTACTGTTGTCGTTCTCTCCTCAATTCCCATCTTCCATCCTCTATATGGTGCAGTGGCCAAAACTGTACATTGCCCCACATGCCCCACTCACTGGTGGGGAATGTATGGATCAAAAATTCCTTACCATGTCTTATATTATGTTCCTTTTATTAAGTACATCCTTTTTATTTAGAAAAAGGGAATTCAGTAAAGGTCCACAAAGATGGTTGGCGGTGGAGCATTTGTCCCCTGAGGAGAGGCTGATGGAACAGGGCTGGTTGGAGAAGAGACAGTTTCAGAGACATGAATTGAAGCAAGAGAGGCTCTAACAGGATGCAAAGAGAAGCTTTTTCCCTGTGAATATAGTCAAGCTATGCAGCCCGTAGCCCAGAGCATCTGGGCAGTCTCCATCCTTGGAGCAACCTGTCACAGCTGACTATACTTTGACCAGGAAGTTGAGCTAAAGACATCCTGAGGGCCCTAACCTGAATTATCCTGTGAATTATTTATTTACAGCCTTGGAGACACCATATTTAATTAGTAGTATACTGAAACTTCCAGTTTATATACTGGAACTATATACTGAAACTTCTTTGTGTCTTCTCCCTCACATGAAATTGTTCTAATAGGTTATTATGTATTTTATTTGTGTATTTAATCTTACTTTCCAAAGCAATACTCTTGTCTTACTGAAATTAATCTCACTGACATTTGCAGTTCATCAGATCCATTTTCTTTTCTTACCCACTTATGGAAAGCCCTTGAATTCTGGTTTATCCCCAGTGAGCTCTCATGCAAGCCTCTAGAACAGACTCCTGCTGATTCCCTTGGTATATTCCAGTCCAGTTGTGTTTAAATACTGATAATTATTCTTTAAATGTATATTTAAACTTCCTGTGCAACCACTGCATTTTGATTCAAGCTAGTTTGCTTATGATAATGCCATGTGATGCCCCATCAGAAGCCTTGCAATCAGTGTTGGAGTCCTACTGTGCTTCTCCTTGCAGTTGCTTATCTAGTAGGCCAGCTTTCCAACGAAAGAAAGAAATTTGATTTGAGATGATTCATACTGGACAGCCTCACTATAAACATATTAAATTTTTCTAGGCCTATAGATGCTCTGCAGGCTAACTTATTTCAGTCAAGATCGTTGGTTAGCCTCAATTTTGTATATGTGTGTGTAAATACAGCTATATATGAAAATATAAAGAGCGAGGTAGACACAGTTTTATGCACATATTCCGGTATATTTACTTTATGAATCCAGGTGCAATATCAGAGGATCTTATAGGCCACAAGAGGAGGGGGACAGTGAGTCTGGATTAAAAGAAAAGAAACAAAAATCTAATAATTCTCTGGTCCTTGCAGCTAGGCTAGCCATAATTTTCAGAATCTTCTTTTTCTCCCATCTTAAATATTCTTTTGGCTTTTCTTTGATGCTTTCAATAGTCTTCCTGCCTCCTTTTTTTTTTTTGACATTTTCGTATGTGCTATAGGGTGAAATTCATTGAGCTGTGCTCAGTACGTCCGGATTACATCACACCTACTTGATCTTCTGTTCAGACACTTTTCTGTTGTTCTGTTGCTTTCATTCTTTCTTTTCCTTAAAAAGTATATTGCCATGATCAGTTTTAGTAGTTTGTGATCACTTTCAGTACATTCTCCATTCAGGTTATTAACAAGTTCTTTCCTATCTGCAAGGAAATTCTCCTCAGGTAATTCTGGTCACCTTTTTGAAATGCTACATTGTCTCCAACACAGCCCACAGCTGTGAAGACCTGCATATGTCTTGTCCTATGGCTTTTTCAGTAAATATGCTAGTAATTAAAAAGAATTAAAGCAGGTGGGAACGTGCAAACACTTTGTAATAGGATTGGCCACTGCCTTTACAGCAGATGTCTGAAATAATTATGCTCTGTTGCCTTTATCACAGAGGAAATTAGCAGGGACAATACATTTCTTACATGAATACATGAGTGTGTTCTCATGAAATCAAGGAGGTCTAAATATCTGTAAAATTAGTAAAATTTTCCTTAAACAACCCTTTTAAAAGACAGTGTATGATTAAATTAGTAAAATTTTCCTTAAACAACCTTTTTAAAAGACAATGTATCACGAGACTGTGATTGCTGGGCAAGGAAGAGAACGGGTCGGTGGAGAGTGGTTGAGGGAGCCTCCCTGCCCTCCCTTGAGCAGCCCGACCAGCCGCGTGTGCCACGGTAGCTGTGCGGGCCATTCGGGTCCTCCTTTTCTTGACCCCTGCCATCCGTCAGACTTTTCTCCTCCAGGGAATATGCTGGGACAGTGTTCCATGCAGGTAATTTTGACAGCTATTGAATTGAGCATGACACCACAAAAATGTACGTATACAGGCTTGTTGAAATGTTATTCGTAGCATTTATCTTTTGGGGAAGAACAAGGTTAGTGCATGTTCACTACTAATCACAGCATAGCTGATGCTGTATTTTTTGCCTGTCCTTTAACAGGACCTTTTCTATAGGAAAATCTTATTTGTTAAACTCTTTCTCACAGAGCCTTTTGTGTCAGTGGTATTAAGGACCCAAGTGTATTTCTGTTTTGTTGTGGTGTAAGTACATGAACAGATTTAATTCTTTTCCTTCTTTTTGATGCCATATGTTTTGGGAACTGAAAATTAGAAGTGTTTTGAAGTCTAATCCAAACTCTCCCTCCCACTGCCTATTTTCTGGCCTCAGATACTCACTTAACCTTTTTCCGTTTCTTGGCTCCTTCCTCTTCGGTGCAGGGGCATGCAACTTTAAGTACTTCTCAGTTTTGTAATTCATTAAAAAAATCAGCACTTTGAAAACATAAAATATATATACAGCAAATGCTAAATATTTTTATAGTGATGCAAGGAAAAGGTTGGTTTCTGAATTTAAATTCCATTACCTTTCCCAAAGTAATGCTGCTTGCATACTGCATTTCCGTTTCTTAGTCATTCAGACGTTAGTGAGTGCAAAACTGAGTAACGAGTTGTGAAATACTGTACATCTGAATGGGCATTCACACAATCCCATGAAAATTTCTCTCAGTTTGGCTGGTCCTCCTCCAGCCAAATAAATACAGGTGAAATGAGTCACCTGCGTTTAAAAATAATTTCACATAATCACTGATTGAACCTCTAATTCTGAGGATAGGCCAGAGTGGTGAAAGCAGTTTGCTTAAACAGTCATTGGAGCTGAGATCTGCACCAAGGGCCCCAAACATCTGCTTTCATGTGCTCTTCTCTCTCCAAAGAAGTGCCAAAGAAAGGCACTTAGTGGCAAGAAGTGAAATGCCTTTGCGAAGGTGCCGTGGAAGAAAACTGGAGTGGGCTTTACTATCAGCTTTGCATTTATCTCGTGGGGGAGAACTGTTTTGTAGCAAGCTGCAGAGGACAGAAAAGCAGAGGCAAAGCTTTCATTATCTATCAAAATGTAAAGCCAGGCGCACCACCGAGGCAGTGCAAATAACACAGCAAACAACAATGAGGGAGAAGAAAGGAACCAGATATAGGAAAGTTTAAAAATTAATGAAGCTGGCGGGGAAGGGATGTGTGTGTGTGCACATGCATTTCAACTTGGAAAGCAAACTGTTCAACTTGGAACAGTTAGCAATGTTAGCTGGCCCCCAGCCTTCCTGGCAGTGGTCGCTAGTCACTGCAGAGGATGCCAGCCTGCCCTGACAGCAAGCAGGACCATTGCTTGGTCTGTCACCAGCCAGGAAGCCAGGTTGCAGACTACAACAGGTAAGAGCCAGCCTCATGTTTCTGCACACAGTTGCGCTTCTCTGGGTTATCTGTTTTGAACATCGATGCTGAATTCCTGCTTTAAGCACTGGCAATGAACACTCTCCTTTTGTTAAACTACTGATATATTAATTGCTAGCTATTCTGGATGCTGCAATTGCATTTTTCGTATGTGTTTAGTGCCTTCTGTTGCTGCCTGCCTAAGATACTGTGGGCAGTTCTTACGTCTGAGGCTTTGTTTTAGTTGCCTGGCTACTGTAAAACGTTATCTTCGCTTTTGCTGCGGTGTCACAGATGCTTTCTTGATGATTGTCCAAACAAGGAAATATGTGAAAGATGCCAGTGAATGCTGGGGTCTAGCTCTGCTGCTTTTGCTAGGGCTTACTTTGCTTTGCTGCTACAAACTATCTGCAAAGTAATGTAGAAGGTAGACTGGAATCCTTCAGTTGCAGAGTGGGGCACTGATCAATACCACAGATAATATTAGCTATGTCTTTGTATGAGAAGGAACTGCTATTTGCAGGAGGTAGTGGGTGACTGCTTTACTTAATTGCAATGTATTTACTTTGCTGGTGGTTGTTACTGTGAAAACTGATTTTTCCTGTAGACTGTCCTGCCAGACTTTTCCCTCCCCTCTCCATGTGAACCAAACTGCTGCCAGCAGAGTGAGACCCAAGACTTAAAACTTAATTGGGATGTTGATTCAAAACCTCTTCCCTGCCAAAAAGTAAAAGTAACCAATATTTCTTACGCTCTCTACATGTTCTGTTTATGCCTGCATAACTTTATCTCTTGACTTCACCAGCACTCCTGATTAAAATGTTTTCTTGTACTCACAGCATGAAACCTCTTCTGAAGTCTCTGGATAAGCTAGGTTCCCTTCCAGGCATACCAAGAGCATTTTGTCAGCAAATAAATAAAAACTTACTCTTCATGGCTGCTTTACTTCTTTTCTTTTTTTTTTTCTTTTCATGTCAATGCATTCCTTTTCTTAATTATTCTTGCCTTTTGGCACTCGTGGTGCACTAATATTTGCAAGATGAGATATAGTTTTCTGTTTATATTAGCAGTCCTCTGTCTGTGAGATATGGACCAACCAGAATGCAGGATATCCTTTCTCTTCGATTCACCAGGTTCATAATGTAAGACACAACGATAAATGGCTATGTTGTCCCTCTCTGGATGTGCAGTCTGTTGCTATGGTCTTATCTCCGGGTGTCACGTTGCTGAAATGACAACATGGTTTGTACATGTCCGCTCTCTTCTGGGGTTGTATGTACATGCCTCCATGTATCGTGGCGTGTGATGAGCGTATGTTGGCCGTGTGCTGCACCCCCAAGAAGGATGGGGATTTTTCCATGGCCGCCTCGCTCGCTGGGAGCTTTGACTTCTGTTCCCGATGTGTGTGTTTGCTCATGATCTCAAAGCCAGAAACAGTGTCAACCGCTCGGTTTGCACAGTTTCACTCCCACACTGTGTCGTGCAGCCCCTTCTGTGTTAATCCAGTAGACCCTGCAGGCCTTTGCAAGAGCAGGAAGGCATTTGAGGGGAACGAGAGGGAGCCCTCATGGTGCTCTACCAGCCAACAACTTGTGTCACAAAGTTATCGGCTGTTCAAGAGACAGCAAAGCTGGTTATCTGTCAGGATTGCACAGTGATAAGTCTCATTTCCCTAGACGTAGTTCTTGAGAAGGTCCACAAATACATCTTAACACCTGACATATAGCTGCCTTCTTGGATTATTGCTTTCAGAGAGGCCATTTTGACTACTGAGCTTTAGAAATGGTTAAAATATAAGTACACCAAGAGCCAGCTCCAAATATCCCTCTCTTTCTTCACCCCTCCCCCCCCAAAAAAAAAGCTGTGAGGAACTAGGAAAATTTCTGTCATAAATAGTAAGGATTAAAAAAAAAAGAAGCAAAGAATCAGGATTTGGCTGGTCCATGGAACGCTGAAAAATTCTTACAGAGAGAAGATATTAATTTCTTCAGCCAAAAAGCATCAGATCTGTGCATGCTCCAATTTAGCGTTGCCATGGCAACTAATGCCTGTTACCATAACGAGGCACGCGGCTCTACCAGGTGCAAAGTTGGGAGCCGCGAGTCCTCCGCACCCGCCGAAGGCGTCGAGCCGCTCGGAACCGGGCGATTCCTCGGGAGGGCGCGGAGGGGGTTTCACTGCACGTTTCAACAGCAGAGCTTAGGAAGGAGAGATTTCATAAAGGAGATTTTAGGTTTTACAAAGGTCGTGCTGAGATTACTGCTTGCATGCGGTTTGTAATGTAAATTCTCTGTCTTGGAATTGCACGGCAATCAGGTGAGCTGTGAAGTTAGGTGAGGAATAAATTTCTCCCTTGCCTTTCCATTTCATCTGATAGATAAAAAGTCCCCTGTGTTTGCTGTGTCGTAATAAATGCATAAGCTTAAATGTTTGATTAGATCTTTTAATTTCAAATGGAATATTCAAACTGGAAAATCTTTATTACATCATCTGTATTTTTAAAGATCTAAACCAAACATCATACTTGGTCCTGTACTCAAATTTACAAGCATTTCCATAGTGCTTGAAAATGATGTAAATATTTCTGAAAGGCCTGAAGTTCTACATATAAACCACAAGTTAGTTCCAAACAAGTTCTCAGATATGAAACTCCTAATAATTCATATTTTTCTACCCTAGATTTAACTGTCTTCTCAAGTCTTTTCTAAAATTAGGAGATGCCACTATGCATTTTAACAGAAGTTAATTGCCACCATCACACACCCATTATTTTCCTAAATCTAAGCATTTTAGTATCTGACAAGAGTGACTCAGCTGAAGAGGTTTTTTTTTTTTTTTTTTTTCCTCTCCCCCTTAGAGTCTTTCAGTCCTGGATTTATGAAAGTATTTAGGTTTTAGGTGTCTAAATCTTGTTTAAATGCTTTTCTTCCCCTTTGGGGGGAAGAAAAAAAAAGATTGGATGGGGAATATGTAGTGGGAATTAGACTTCTAAATATCTTCATGGAACTGGGCTTTGGAGCTTTCCCTGCTATAATTCAGGCTAAATAGGTAATGAATACTGGCACTATCACAGTGTGAAAATGTTAAAAGTTCTATAAGAAACAAACAAAAGGAAATGAGACCAGAGACCACTTCTACTGAATATTAAAAAACATTTATAATATAATCACAAAATAGATTTTTATGGCTCTTGTATAACACATCTCCTCCTTCATCCATCAAAATAATCTATACTGATGATATTTAATTTGTATGCAGCTTTTTCTAATAACTGCTCCTTTTACAAGACATGCTGAGATACATGAAAGGTCTTCAGCTGCAACTGCCAGATACAGAAATTCTGTATCTCTAAATTCTACATCCCCTTAATCTCAGCTGTATTGTGTGTCTAGATCATCCCAGAGAGACATATAATAATCTTATCAGTTCTGTTTTGTTTAATCTAAAAAGAATACGGTCTTTACTTGGATGATCTTATATATTAATAGAGTAATTAATGAATACAAATGAATGGCCTGCGCAATCCTCTCTAACTATATTGTATTCTAGCTTTATTAGTCTGGTTGAAGATTACTTCTCATTTCCTTATGATTATTGCTTCTTAGCTCCTTCATAAAACAGAGCCAATAAGAGAGGTGATTGCTGTTTCTCTTGCTACTGTTCCCTGTTTGCAGACAGAACGGATGCAGTTTTTCATGTTTTTAAATCCTGCTATTAATACCTTTCATGTAGAAGTGAGTCAAACTGTTAAATGACGTTTTCATTTTATTCCTTATGTATCTCTCTCAATTTGTCTGGACTATCCACATGTGAGGAAAGTCATTTGTAAACCAATGCAACAGAACAGTGTGGAGCACCACCCAAAGTCACTTTTACTGTAGAAACTCTGCTCCTACCTCACAGAGACCCCCCAGGCTTCCAGGGAGGGAAGATGAAAGGTCAAAGGATGTACTTTTTAGCTCCTTTGTCCTGAGTTTACTCTTCCATTACAATATCCTTTTGCTAAATGGATTTTCCTCCTGAGAATAGTTTCCTTATACAGAATGTACTGCAGTGTAACTTCATTAGGGAAAAACAAAAGTCCATTTCAAGTGTTCTGTTAGTTAGGGGCCTTGAGCAGTGCACAGCAGACACTGAGATGTGAGCAGCAGACATGTGAGAATGTGTAATGTAATTTGCATTTCAACTTCTCTTGTAGTCAAATATAAACTCCACTAATAAGGATTCATATCCTTATCCCTTTTAATACGGTTGCATCCATATTTTATAAGGAGAACTACTTCTTGAGAAAAGAGCTCTTACTCAGACTCTTACTTCAGATTAAATATAATGAAAGGCTTTATAAATTAGTGGTCAAAAGGTTTCATTTCTGTGGACACAGAATGCCAAAAATTGGAGCAATTTCTGCTGCTGCTTTCCTTTCAAAGTTTGAGCTTGAAGTCATATCTATACAATATAGACAATTTAACTAGGCAAAACCAAAATTACAATATGGTATGATTTGTAGATGTGCTAATAGTGTCAACATTAAGTGGGATTGACTTGTTTAATGATGTTCACTTGCTTGAAGTTACCATATTGGCAGGGTAATGTTGATGTTTCCAGATTTATCTCTTGCTTTTCATTGCAGAGTTGTGCAAATGTATGTCATTTCATTATTTTGTGACACATGAAAATGATGTACTTGTTTTGTTTACTCTGTCCTGGTTTAATTAGTAGGATGTTACAATTTGCCAGACTTTTGAATGTCTTCAATAGTATCTTTTTCATGTGTTTTAACTTTTTATTAACTTCTAGCCATACTCTATGAGAAATACCAATGCTACTTTCCATACAAATTTTAATAACATTGCACACACAGAAAATACAAAGAAATATGGACAGATAAAGGAGGTAGTGTACTCCAAATTGAAATAATCACATAGGAGAGTAAAGCCATTGGAGGGAAAATAAGCAAGTGAGGAAGAAAGATCAGGAAAGAGAAATCTGATCCCTAAAAGGCAGAGTGAGAGGGTAAGAGGAAGTCAGCCTCTCAGAGGTTGAAGAGAAGTGGGGCCAAGGGCAGAGGGAAGAGGAGGAAGAATCCATCCATGTATCATCTTTGGTTGGAGCGAGCTCATGTTGGTTCAGCAGTAACCCTGGGGGCCTGTGTTTTGGAAATGGGGATGGGGATTGACAGATGGGAACCAAAAAGGGGTGAGATCACAGTTAAAAAACACATAACCTCGAAAGAATAGTTGTCCCTATGAGCCTACAAGGTAGAAGGATCCCTGAAGGGTCCAGAGGTCAGTGCTGGTGCAATGAAATCATGTCTGAAATGTGCTCCAGCAGGTAAGACCCAGACCAGCACAGCCATGGGATGTCTGTAGAGGTGTCTGCAATATCTCTTCTCAGAAGGGGGAAGAGTGTCCTGAGAGGAGTTCAGCCACAAACTTCAGTATTACCCATGTTCTTTAGGGATTTGAGGAAAAGGGAGGAGATGACAGATCTAGGAAGACAATCATTCATATCAAGAAGGATGGTGTAGCAATGTGGTTAACTTCACAATGAGACATAGGAAAAGGTGATCAAAGTAAATGCTCATAAAGAGAATAAAGAATGCCATATGTGTCTGAAGAATGTGTAAGTCTTCAGATCAAAGCAAGGTCTCAAATTTTTAGCCATTTAGAAAAGTTAGTTACTACTAATTTATGCTGAATAATGGAAGACATTAATTGTGTAGAAAAGCTTGTAAAACACATAGAGGAATTTGTGAATGGCATTTTTGTGCATCTTGTGTTTTTTTTCAAGTGCTCTCATCCGCATACATGTATTGTAAACAGTCGTTTTTCATAAATATTTCAGGTGCCTAATGATTTTATTCTAAAAGTAAATTGATTTAATTAAAGCATCATTAAACACTGTAGTAGATGACTTTTAATTATAATTTAAATAATGAAAAATGCTGTAGAATTTTTATTCCTTTATTTTAGTTACATGGCTCTATGTATAAAAACACATTATTGTTAATTGAGCACAGCAGTGGAGGGCTACTTTATAACAAATTTGGCTGCAACTTTTGAATATTTTTAATATCTGTGATTTTCAGACAGGAGACTGGGGAGAGCCTTCAATTACCTTGAGACCTCCAAATGAAGCCACAGCTTCAACACCTGTACAGTACTGGCAACATCATCCAGAGAAACTCATCTTCCAGTCATGTGATTATAAGGCATTTGTAAGTGTTGATAAGTGTAGTGGTTTGGTTTGGAGTAGATCATATTAATCTGCAATTTTACAAAGTGGGATGTTTTCATTTATAATATTTTGTCAGTCACTTTTAATGAAACAGGCCTCTTCCTCTGGATTAATGTAATCTTAATAAATAAGCATCAAACATGCACAGTACTTTTGCTATGAATTTTCGTCATATATTGGCAGCCCATGTAATGATTAGAGAAATGACACCATCACTTCACAGAGGCTAAGGGCTGTGGAAGTAACAGTGAGAGAAGACACCCTTATCTCCTTTTTCTCCTTCACATACACCAGTCTAGTAGTAGGGGTTGATAACAGAAAAGCAGTAAAACAATATAAGATGGAATCCTTGTACCTACCTTTGCGCTTAATGTAGAGCAGTTCATGTACCCATTACTTTGCCTGGATTTCAGAAACCTAGTTTGGGGCAAAGGAGCTAGGGAAGATGGAAGTCATGTTCCCGAAGTGGTGTTTCTAATCCATAGGATAAGGTAACATGGAAAACTCTCCCAGACTGGTGACTGCTTCAAGTAGCAGGAGCAGTATTCAGGGCAGGGAACATCTGTACCTCCCCAGAGCTGTAGCCCTATCCCTGAAGAAACTGAATTTCTGTCTACAGCGAAATGTAATTAGTGTTCTTTGTTATAAACCCTTGTGAATGAGAGGAAGGTCTCCTCAAGTATAGAAAGTCATATTAGAAGACTTTTTCTAAAATGGCGAACACTTTTCTGAAGTCAGCACAGAGTACACTGTGCAGTCAGTGGCGAGGGGCTGGTCCTCCTTGGTGCCTCCTGAGGTGAGTCAGGTGACTCAGCGCATCCATTTAAACGGTTACGTTTTTCCTTCCGTCTTTGCTGGAAACCAGTGTACAAATTAACAGATGTTTTTCCATCCACTTGGGATCCAGGCAGCCTTGTTCTTTTCAGAGGCAGGCACTTCATGAAGCAAGGCTGACCATTCTATAAAACAGAAGATGCAGTGCATACATGGGAGTTAAACCACTCCTTGAGGCTATGGGATCCTCTTCAGCAAGACGGGCTTGAAACCACTGTACATTTTAAGAGAATGATTATCAGAAACTAGGAGAGCGAGGGGCCGCTGAGCCTGAGTTACAGTATGCCCTGGAAGGCAGGAATTAAGGACCAAGTAAGTGCAGAATTGACAGAGGTTGGCTTCCACTCAGCAGGTAGTAGAAGAGGCACAGACCTGGCTCCCCAGGGCACATCTGTACCTTCCATTACACCTTCAGGGGCAGAAGTACCATGAATGTAGTAGTTATTCTTGAAGGGAAGCTAGACCTTCCAGCCATCGTCAGCAAGCCAAGCTTCATATTATCTGCTCTCAGTCCATGTCCCAGTGGTCCTCCTATGTGCAGCATCTCTGATTCAAAGGGAAGTTTCATTACGTTTACGTTTTAAGGTATTTTTCATACTTTTCTTTATAGTGAATGGATTAGCCCCTTATTTCTCTATTTGATCCAGAAGTAAATTCCAAATAAGATCTTTGAGAGGTGCATTGATAATAGATTATGACTACAGCCTTCTGCTGAAGTGGAAGTTGGGATGAACAGGATAGAGATACTAGCAAAATATCAAAATTACAGTTCTTTTAAAGAAATTTCTTTCTTTCCTAAAGACTGTGCACCAGTGCCTTGTCTCAGCTACAGGATATGTAATGACTACGAGTATAGAGTAAAATACTGACTATAAATATAGAGTAGAAGATGGAATAATGAGTGGCAGCTTTTACTATATTTTACATCATTCAGCCGATGGGGTGTTGGATATCATCTCTCCATGGAAGGACATACATGGGAGAATATTCCTGCCATATTCTCTGAGTCCTCGAAAAGGAACAATGCTGTGAACCCAAGAAATCTGAGGGAAGCAGAATTCCCTCCCAGGATTTCACATTTTTTTGACAACTTAATTGGGCAGTACCTGTGTGATTTGCTTGTTTATTCTGCAGTCCTCCCTGGGAAACATTTTTGAATGCCTAGAGCTGGGATTTTTTGCTGCTGTGCAGAAGGAACAGGAATGTCTCTTCCTCTTGTTCTGCCATGAGTGCAAAAGCACCGCATTTGTCTCTCATGCCTATCTCAGCAGTAGCTTTCATGCAAATATTAAGTTGTTGAGCCATCATCTAACAACATCTGAAGAACTGAGTTGCATTCTTTCCAGGGAATAATCATTTGCTATCATTTGCCAGTGATAGCAAAGGTGTCACACGGCAAAGAACCCAGAGACAGATACAGTTCATCTCAATATGCCTTTGTTTAATTTTCTAATTTCAGAGCTTGCTCTAAATTGGATGTTCTTCTGTAAGGGCAATGTCAAGCCATCCTGTCAAATTAATGCCCAATGCCCTATTCATGTCATCATCAAGCCTCCAGCTGGACTCACAGCTGTTTGGTTTAAGTATTGCTCACATTTGCAGTCCTCCAGGAGTGCCCTTCATCCTTCCTTTCCACCTGCACTCATGAAGTTGCACTGGTGCTGCTCACTCTTCTGTTTACAATGCCCTGTGTGGTGATTCTCAGTAGCTACTGGGTGGGCTAGTGTCTACACTGAAATATGTATACATCTTCTTACAGGTCAGAGACTCCTGTGGTACACAGTGTGAACTGAAGGTTTTAAACACAGTCTCTCAGTCTAGGTCAAGAAACCAAGGAGCTGAACGAATACACTTTCTGTTCATTTCCCATTTGCATTCAGCGACAACTGAAGTTATTTTTGATCGCTTCTTTTTTGAGATGATACCGGCTCACTGCCTGCTTTGGATAGCTTACACAGTTTCCTAGATTCATGGGGGTGTTAGAGTGCAAAAAGGCCACCTAACCATGGTGACCTTCTCTGGGTCGAAGCTCCCTCAGAGCCTTTTCTTTTACTGCTCACCCATCCCATTCTCACCAGTGATTTGACTTTTCTTCCACTCCTGTGTTGCTCACATAGGATTGAGGCTTTAAGAGGGGCCACGGCATTGAGCTGCAGTGAGAATGATGTCTCTGAGCAATAGCAACAAGTGCCCATCCACAAACACATAGGCCTGTATCGTATATAGGAAAAATGTGGGATGTTTGGGGTGCTCGCACAATCTTGCTGACAGTAACGAGTCCCTCTCTACTAGCAGAGGAAGGCAATGTAGATGTAGTCAGCTTACTCTAGGTAGGGGCAGCTCAGTTTACACTCAGCATGGAGAAGTTCTCCATCCCCTAGTGAACAAATCCAGGGGCATGTAGCCTGTTGTCAGCCTGCAGAAGCGCGGGCTCAGGCTGCACACACCAGCAAGACATGCGATGGAAAAGAGGCAGGTGGAAAGGAGATAGTGATTGGAGCTCGATTGCAGTTCAGCTTCAGTTTTGCTGTGTGCTGACACTGGGTTCTGCTCTCTGTGGATAAAGTAGTTACAGAGTGGGCGCACATAGGTTAACATCTCTGCTGCCCTTTCATCCACAAGGTTGGATACATAGCAGTAAGGGCTTGCCTGATGACTGCTAAGGCAGGGGGGCAGATCCATTTATTCTTTTATGAGAAAAAAATAGGACATTTTTAAGATGAAATCAGAAGGGTTTTTTCCATGTTTAAATAACTAAAATAACCTAGAATACTTACAGGTAATTTTTCTAAGGGCTTCATCTAAATTAAGATATTCATTGTTGTGCATTCCTGTTTCATGTAGAGTGTTGATTAATACTCACTGTTTTAAATGATGTCTCAGAGAGCTGGAGAGTAAAAAAATCTAAAATTAGAAAATGTTAGGCTGTTGGCTACTACAGTAATTTAAAGTATTTTTAGTGCTTCTCTGCAGACATATGTTTGTTCTCGAATTTTAGCTACATGAAGTTTAATGGATTTTTATTTTAGTATTTAGGTTCTATGCTGGTAAAAGAGTTAAGAGGAACAGAGTCAACACAGGATGCTTGTGCAAAGATGAGGGTAAGTTAATAAATCTACTCCTTTCTCTAATCATTGAAATAGCAGCTAGTTAGTCTTGTGCATTTTTTTTGCATTTATAACATTCTGTTACTCATTTGTTTTCACTCCTCTTGCATTTACATTGGCATTTAACAGGAAGTCTGTTCTGCCTTTCATCTTAATTCACAGTAATACCAAAGTTTTAAGGTAGATTTTTATTTTACACATTAAGGCTAATAACAATTAAATGCGTACATTATATCTTGTGTTCTCTCCTGCATCTTTGGAACTGTTTCAAAGTTCTTTCCACAAACTTTAAATATGCTCATTAAATGTGCTTTGTTTTTAGAAACATAATTAATTTATGGCTCATATGGAAATGTAGATACTATTTATTGTATTGTTTCTTTATTGTTTCTTTATTAATCCTTAATCATGTGGATGCCTTTACTCACATTAGTATTGCCATTTATTATGAGTTACGCATTCATTTATTGATTGAAGGATGAAAAGTGAACAAAGTCAATTTATTTGCTAGTGGAAAATCTTTTGTATTTATTTTCAGATGGGTCAGAATATAGTTTTCTTCATATTTCAGTCTCATCTTGGTTTGCACAAAATTATTGAGGCTCAGTCTGTATCCAAGAAATAGTGATAGAAACTCCAAACAAACAACAGTCAGCCTGCTACATACACAATATATTAATAATTGTAATAGTAATAGCACTCTTTTTCATAGTGATGGAGAAAAGTTTATGGTCTGGTTTGATTAATTATTGAGGAATATGACTGTATAGTGATCTACTGAAGATGAAACATAGATGAATGAGTGAAATTCATTCATTACTTTATAGATCATAAGTCTTTTATGCAAGATTTGGGTAAGTTTTAAAGCTAGAAGATGTATAGAATTCATGCAGACAATCATTTCTTATTGGTTACATATCCACAGTACACAGACTCTGGCACAAGCTGTTTCAGCTAAGGGCTGTCAGTAATTCATGAGTACTATGTTGTCAGAAAATCTGTGGCTTGTCACATGATTACACACTAATAATTTCTTACCTGGGCTTAAATTTTTCTAAAAGGCCACATCAACTTGACACATAGGGGATCTACACTCCCTATCTACACATGCATGTGTTCTGGAGCATCGATGCTAACAGCTTGCTTACGTAAGAGCACTATAGTATATATCATCCAATCCAGCTTTCAAATTGTCTAACTTAGTACTTCAGTTTCTTAGGAATGTTCCTGTGTAGATATTGGTGCAGAATTTGACACCACAGTAACTTTCAGTAGTTTTGATAAATTATTTGAATGAACTGAGAAGCATAACATTAAAAAATTGCTCCAAATAATTGATGGCTTTTTTTTTTAATATGTCACACATATCTGAAAAATAAATGTGTGAAAACAAGTTTAATACCTACTTTTCCATAAAAATGATAAGAGTTGCACTAATAGTCTGTAGTGCTTTACAGTCACTTCAACAATATATTTTTATATTTTCTATAAATATATGCTTGCATTCTATTTTGAAATAATTATGTTTTGAAAATGTTTATTTTCCCTTTTTTTTTCTTTTGTCACAAAGGCATATGAATAAAAATTCTTAATCAAGGTTTCCTCTGTCCTTTTAATCATATTTCTATTCAAGTCAGAGACAACAAAAACACTGACTTAATGGGAACAGGTTATTATCCTAGCATAAGCTTTCTCATGAGAAAAAAGAAATGTATCTTTTTCCAAAATTTTCTTCCTCTGTTTGTATTTTTAATATTGGTATCTGTGAATTGGGAGCTCAGATTGTCCTAAGCCATCCTGATGTTTTGAGGTCATGTTCATTTTTGTTTTTTAAGTACTTCTAAGTTGTCATTGAAAATCTGGCCTCTATTTTAGTTGTGTTTTCTTCAGCTGTACTGAAAATCATATCTCCAAATACCTATTAAAAATAAATGAAATACTAGATCTATCATTTGATTTCCTCCTAGGCATTGAATTCTGCCCACTTGTCCAGTCTCTTTAGAGTCAGTAGGGTTGTACTAATGTGAAACAGCAATTCTGTTAAATTTTAGTTTGCATATTATTTTGCTATCTATATATTTCAAATCTGTATGTTGAGCTGTATGTTCATGCTGTAATGTGAAACATGTTGAGGGAAGCAAAGCATCCATAACCTTATACCAGGTTGAGCTATAAGGTAGAAGCCTTCGTTTTTCTTTCTGGAGTCTGCTAGATACTATTTTGAAGAAGAGCGTGTGGAAATTAGGTACCTAATTTCTCTGTCATTATGGCTGTTGCTTGTTTAGTTTTAACCTAATGCTGTTCAAAAAGATATTGGTATTCATTGGATGTCTTCCAGTCAGCAGATGCACAAGGATGAAAGAAGCCTACCAGTGAAATATAGCATCTTGATCTTCCTTAATTATTCATGGAAATAAAGTAAACGAAAAATGAAAATGACCCGTTTGCTAACCGATCTGCTGAAAGTGGATTCTTCCTGTACTTTTAATTATTGTGATTTATGGGTTTGGTTCTCAAATGAGAAGTGTCATGTAGATATCCCTCCCCTAGCTCCACCAAAAGGCTCACAGCAGCCTCCTCTGACGGCTTGAGAGTGACAGAACAGCCAAAATCTTATAGAATATGGAAAAATTGGGAACTGCTGTATTAATAGCTTTTATTGGCTATCCACTGTGCTTCTCAACACTGCAGCAGTGTGCTTCATGGGGCAGATGATGGATTTGTTTGGGAATTCATGCATATGCATTAGATGATTGAACTCAGCATACGGATCAAGGTTATATATGCTTTTTGTTCTCACCCAAATTGCAGATTATAACTCTTGCAGTCATCCAAAACTGTGTATATCTGGCAAGAATTTTACCTACTAGAGGAATCCATTTTTCCTCCAATCACATATTTGCACTCCAAGGCTGGATTTGTATTTTATGATTTACTGTTTGTTTTCATCTATTTTCTCTTTCAAACTCCCTCTGTCTCCTTATCTCCTTTCCCCACCTGCTGTGAACTGACCATTGCTACTTGGAGATTAAATCTTGCTCTCCTGGCCAGTATAGATTTGTTAATTATAATTGAGAGATGCCTTAAAAACTAAAGAGCTTTCATCTTTCTCAGCATGGAATGGGAAATATTACAAGTTGTGTTTTCAATCAGATTACTGTTTTCACTCCAAATCCCCACAGGAACAGGAAACAAGAGGAAAATGTGTTTGCATCAAAATAAAGAAAAGAAAAAAGTTTAATTGGAGCTAGGAAGAGGCCTGTTTCTACAGTAGATTCAATCTGACATTTACATTTCCGAGCTCCCTGACAAGGTGAAAGGGAACACTTTTATACTTACTGACATGGGCACAGCAGCAAGGTGGACTCTTTCCTTGCAGTAATGTTAAATCACTAGTGTTGCATAGACAAATTGCATAGTCTGAAGCAAGATATTTACTGCAGCAACAAGAAACTTCATTCAAAGCAAAGGTTTTATTCTCAGATCTGTATTCTTGCATTTCAGGTCCCAGAGATTCAGTTATAGGATTCTGTTCATAAAGTCTGAACTTAAGTGTCTTGCTGAGTTAAGACCAAAATGTCTAAGTTAGAATTGACATAGAGTCTGCTTCTCTTATCTCTGGAGAGAAAAAATGAAGCAGAGTTGACCCTTTCTCCTGCAAAACAAAAACAAACAAACAAAAAAAGAGGTCTTGGGCTTTTCTTTCTCATTCTGTCTTACCTAACGAAGTTGGATATAGATGGCCATCTCTCTTGTTCTGAGTTCTCCCTCTACACTCAAACTATACATCCTTTGGCTGACTTGCACTAGTGTAATGTAAAGATATTGGTTTACATCTGGCAGGAAGGGAGAAAAAAGGGGCATGGAGTAATACTTAATAATAAGGCAAAAGAACATTTTTTTTCCAGATGCTTATATAAATTGTTCAGCTCAGATTAATTAAATTGGCTTGTGCAAAACACAATGTCATTCTGAATTTGAATATTCTACCTCATCCAGAAGCTATGAATATTTAAAAGCTGAGTGCAGAAAATGATTGGTAGCTCAGCTCAGTGCACAATGTTCATCCTTCTCCCATCAGATGCCAGATTTCTATGTGTTTTATCAGGAATAATTGAAGAGCTGTGTAGTATTTATTTTTAAAAAATGGAAATAAAAACTGTATGAATCAGAAATCAGTAGTGCATCTGACTTAAAATGTAAAAGTGAATCGTGTTTCTTTGCTGAAAATTAAGAAACTCCAGAAGTGTGACAGAGGTCATTATATATTTGTTAAATACTGGCTTAAGGATTCCCCTTCTTTCTGTTGGTTGTATAAAAGCAGCTTTTGAATGCTCAGTTGAGTCCCCCTCCTCCAAGCACTATGCTCAGTGCTTGCTTCGGCCTGCTCGTTGTGGAAAAGCAGTCATGCCTCAGCTCAAGTTGCTCATCGAGAGCTTTATGAAATGCCTGCCTTTCTTCCCTGATTTGTAAGGAGCCTCAGTTAGCCTAAGTTAGTGCCAAACATTGGCACTCTCAATCACTGTCATCATCCAGGATCCTACTCCTTTTGGTACTTGTGTACCAAACACAACAACCCGCAGTGCTATCTCAGTACACTTCCCAGTAGGTAACTGAGGGAATGGTCCTACTAAACTGTCCTCCCCAGCTAGTTAGTTATTAAGCTATTAGCTAGAACCAGAACATAGTGACCTTACTGTGATCATGGTAGCCCTTGTAGCCATCCTTATCCATCATTTCAAGCCCACGATATGAAACTGTGCAAAGAGAACAAGCATAATCTTTCTGATGAGAAACATGGACACTCAGAAGGATCTTAGTTTAATCCTGTGCCTCAATCAGTCCTCTTTTGACTATATACAGCTATATTGCTGTTTTCTGAACTTGCCAAGACAGAGAAATGCTTTCTTTCAAGTCTTTCTTTGAAGTCATCACATGTGTGGGAAATTGAGAGATCTAGCTACTAAGGACAGCAACTATACATCATGAGAAAG